ATAAGTTTTTTTAGTAAACAAATTATTGTTAATTCTAAATTTAAATTTTTTATTGGAAAATTATTCACAGAGAGGTTCATCTGAAAACTTTAATTGAGTTGTATTCTTTTACGATGTCGTAAATTAAGTTCTAATATAGACTGAAGTACAAAAACGCGGCTCATTTAACTTCAAAAGCTCGAAATAATAAGTCGTGAAATTCGTAGTGAATATTACAGTCTCATAATGAAGACAGAAAGCAAGTCGATGATGAAAGGGAATCTTCGAAGGAATTATCACTTGTGTGGAAACCATCCTTGAAGTGTGAAGAAAGTGCCTGTGTTCTTTTAACGCCATTTTTGAGTTTCTAAACCCTTTCGTATCGTGCTTAAGACACCCACTGGAGATTCGTTTCTCCGGCTAGAGTACCCTAGATGTTTCCTTTCCAGGGAGGGAGCTGGCGCCCATGTAATAACTTCCGTAGAGGGTGCCAAACCTTGTGGCGTGAAGGTGCCCTCTTCGCCAAGACCGCAATAGTCGCATCATGGAAGCGTGCCGCCTATCACTGTAAGCGGATTTTACTAAATGCTCAATGATTTACGACAGATACCACATGCATCTGTATAACTAGTTACCTAAATGCGTAACATCTTATTAAAAATGAAACTTATTCATTACAATAAAAAGAAAAATTTATTGTGGTTAAACATCACAGTAAATGTTAAATATGTTCACGATTTTGTTCAAGACACATGATCACTCTCTTTTTAATTTCAAAAATGTTCTGTAACTTTTTTTCGTCAATGCTTTGGACCCATTGTTCAATTTCATGTTGTAACAAGAACTCCTGACTGCTGAGACAATCTTGTCTTAAATCGTCAACAACTTCCTCAGATACTGAAGGTTTTCCAGGGGATTTCCCGTTGTTGACACTGCCAGTTCGAAAAAATCTGCTGATTGCATTTCTAAAGTGAGCCTGTAACGATGTTTCTTGAATTTGTAAAGCAGGGTATTTGGCCAGATATTGTGGTGACCGAATTTGAAATAAAATTTCGTGCTGAAAAAAATTAACAGCAGCGTGAAATCGCATTTGAATAATTTGAATTTGAACAAAAAACTCAATCAAGAAAATCGTTAAACATAGGCAACCATGTGCACGTTTAGTTCTTTTTTGTAGTTAATAGCTCTCCTAGGGAATTTTCTGTTGAGATGGTTGGTGGAAGTTGATTTCGTGGCTAGAGGGGCGAGGCGCGTCACTGTTGTTTGGGTTTTGTGAGTGAAAGCATGGTGAAAACACGCGGCAAGAAAGCTAGGTTAAGTTTAGTTGGTTTGGTAGTTAATAAAAAGGAGGAAGCCTTTATTTAACGACAATTAATCGAACTGATTGCGATGACACAGGTTTCCCCAACACGCGTAGCTAATTATTACGGTTTTTCTAAGCGAAAATAAGTGAATTTTCAACTGTTGTTGTTTTATTGTTTGTAAATTCACAGTTCATGTTAGGATTTTAATCGTTACTGGTTCTAACACAATTCAACAAACATTAGATTTGTTCAGATTATTCTTTGTTTACCAAATTATGAATTAGGTTTCTGGATGCTTATACTTAAGTGTTACATTATAGCACTTCTTAATTCCTCACACAAGATTGTTAAATTCAATCTAAAGTTGCCCCACTCTGGCCACTCTGGGAAAAGACCGCGAAGGTACGGTAGAATTCATAATATCCTGGACTGAGGTTCGGGGGGGGGATTAAAAATTTTTTTCCTTAAGCAGTTATTATCATCATATCAGCATTACATCACCGAGATATTTTCTCGCAACGTGGAAAATTGTATCACCCAGGCATTTTCTCGCAACGTGGAACATTACATCATCGAGAAGCTTTTCTCGCAACGCCTGACACATTTTGTGTTGTTTGATTGTCAAGTTTGGGATAAGCTGGAGACAGTCCGCGATATAAACTCTCAAAGCTAATGGTTTTAATAACTAGTCATTCGGATCAAGGAATCATTTAACATAAAGTAAATTGTTTGTTTGAATCGTTGATAAAGTGTGGCATAATTTAACATAATGTAAATTCTTTGTTTGAATTGTTGATAAAGTGTGGCATAATTTAACATGAGGTAAATTCTCTGTTCTGGCAGCGGCCTTGTTGAAAGAGCATTTTCAAATTGCGCACATGTTTGGTCCATAAAATCTTATTGAACAATTAACAACATTGTGGGTCATGTGGAACGTGCATTTTATTCCTTTTATTTAGACTATTATTTGCACAGCGCCACAGGATGAATCACATTTCTGGGAGACATATTTTTGACGCATTTTTTTGAACGACGCATTCGTCCAACGCCATTTTGAACCTCTAGATTGTCTGCCATCATTTTTTTTGTGTTTGTTTCGGGGAATGTATAAATAACAATGGCCCAGAATGCAACTGAATAGTTTGACTTTTGAAAATTAAACAATAACTCAAATGGACATAAAATATTAACCTCATGTAATTTTCTTAACTTTGCAATTTTTCACTTCACAATTTTAGCCTCAGTAATTTTCTTTGCTGTATAATTTAAATTTAACGTAAATTTTCATGCTCTGCAGTTACTAACCTCACGAAATTGTTTTTTGCCAGCACACGTTTTACTTCACACCAGATCTTTTTTTGTTTTTATAAATCTTTGCTAGTTTTTTTGTTTTGTATATATTTTATTCATTAATGCTTCCATCATAAAATTGTCTGCTGTCAATCTTAATCTCAGATAAGAAATCTTTGGTGTTTCAAATTTCATAAGAGTGTGTGGCGAATTTAAATGTTGTTTATTGCTCTTTTGAAACTTTAATACTTGTAATTGAGGGCAAATAACACAGAAACACGTTGAGAAAGCGGAGTGCGCGATTCCTTGTCGAGCTGGCGGTTGCGCCATCTGCACAAAAGAATGCAGCCTTAGGAAAGAAGTCAGGGGAGCGGTCGGGATGACGTGACGCTTGCGGCTTGGCCCAATAGCCGGGATTTCCTACCACGAGTTTGTGACCGTAACGGTCTGTTTCCGCGCGGCATGTTGCCTACTCATGGAGGGATGCTGGGTGGCATGTGCTTGCCGATAGGATAGAACAGAATCACCGTCGTGGGGGGAGAACAGCCACAACCAGGAGCCCTAAACTCCGCTCTTGCTACAACGTCCCTTTTGGGTAATTTTGCTGTGTTTATTAAAATTTTATTCTCTTGTTGACTGCCATAATTTAAATTTGTCGCCAAACGTCCGTAATAACTTGTGTATTTGGATCCAGTTACTTTACTTCACATTTTGCTTTGTTTCTATTAAATTTGTGATATTCAAATATTTGTATTGATTCAGAACGTTTCATTTGATTTCATTCAAAGTTTAGAAAGTTTTTTTTGTAGCTGAGCACTAAGAAGGTCTTCAACCTGCGCAACTTAGTAGCAGCTTTTTTTTATTGTTTTTTTGTCAGTGGAGGAATAAAACATTTTGTGTCCTCCATATATTTGGCGAACTGTCATAATGAGACATAATTTCAGCGAGGCGGGATTTTTAAAATTCCTGGCCAACTATGTCCTTACAATCATTTATAAAAACCCTGTATTATCATATATGTACAATAAAAGTATAATCTATCAATTTTGTTAACCTAATTTTGAAATTTTTCTTACACTTGGTCGTGTTTCCTAAGGCAACATATAAATATGCAGGAGTCTGCATTTCGTTGCAACGTTAATAAAAGAATAATAACTCTTATACAGTAATTAATGAATGGTAATACCAGCGGTTCGCATAATTTTTCACGTAGTTTAAAATCTATTACTTGCTAATCTGAATATAGCAGTTTTATGATCGTTTAACCTTATTACATACGGGTTTTAAAACTTAAATCTTTATCGACGATCAACCACAAGTCTGTTACACTTTCTAATACTTCGAACTAGTTGCCATAGACATTTATTACAAAAGATTAGCTTTTATTCTTTCGCGGAAAATATTACAACCGAACACTATCGTAACACTACTTGTTTAACGTATTACTTGCAATATAAATATGCTATGGCTTAAAGTTGCAAGCCTTAAGGGAAAGTTCGATTTTTGGTAACTTTTGGTATGTCTAATTACTTAGCACAATTTTGAGACGATATCAATAATAATAATAAGACGGTAATAGTGAATAAAACAAAATTAGCAATTCGATAAATTTGGACCTTATTATTACAAATAGAACATACTCAAGTGGAAATCACGTAAAAGGATCAGGCAAATTCGAAAAGAGCGATACTGGGAAAAGTTGACCGACATAACCTATTCGAGTGTGAACATACGTAAGCCTGCCCCACATGTGGTTTCGGTCATCTTGCCGCAATGTGCTTAAAGCAGCGTTTGTTTTTTACCCTTCGAAAAATAAGATCCTTTTTCATTAAGGAAAGAAATCGACAATGTCTTGCCGTTGTAACGACACGTTTCCCCAACAACTCTATTAATATTTTATGGTTATGTCGAGCCATTCTCGTAACGACCGTTTGATTTAGCAGTTAACTTTATTATAAGTTATCTCTTTGATAAAACGCACGCTAAATAAATCTATAAATTATACGCGACACTTAATAGAATGATAATAAAAATATGAGGCGGTCATAAAGTGGAAACATTTATTAGAACTGCTGCGCTGTACTAAGTTAATATCTTTGGAGAAACCTTTAGGTTGGTAATAAAGTGCGGTTTTATATGCAGCATGCTCCGACTTGTTCCTACTGTTGTGTTTACTGAAATCGTAAAATCAATGTCGGCTGTAAATTATGCAAACATTGATATTCGCTTTATGGGGAACCGTGGAAATTACGTGAACGCCGCATCATGAAAAATCCAGAGATGACGTCTGCGAATTAGGGTTAAGTGAATTCTGATAAAAATTTTAAATGCGACGTTTTCGATGGAAATGAATGGAAATTGTGGCGGAATATGACAGGGATCAATTCTAGGAAGCACAACTTGTCGTGGTCAATGGGTGCAGTTTACCTGGGGTTTGCCGACCAGGGGATCCAACGGACTTACCTAGAACAAAAAATACATACATAATTAATATCAGTGGTTTTTAATTTCATGACTGTTTATAACATTTGATTTGAACGAAATACTAGAACAGTCGTTGAGTTTGAATAAATGAGCAAATGAGACAAACTCCAATAAACGTCAGCCCTGGAAACGATTCCATTTCGTGCATATTTTCAATAAGTTGCTCGTATTGGAAATTGACTGGAGCATTTTAGCTGGTTATTAAATTTCCGGCAGAGTTGCCGCAACTTAATATCGCCTTAACTCTTCGAGCACAATATTAACAAAAGATCAATGATGGAACATCAATGGAACGAAACAGGTGAAGAATGGAAGTGAGCATTCGCAAACACAATAAGAAACAGCGGAATCGCACAGATGAAGCGATGAGTCCCATTCACACAGACAAAAGCTTATTGTAACTAGCGAAACCTTTATCTCGGTTTTGCACGTAATATGACTTAACTATCTGGATACGGTGCAACTTATGGCCTTCGGGGAAATGAGTTCGTGCAAACGGTGGCTTTGTCGGGACGATAACGATACAAAAATTTATTTCTCATTCAATACGGGGACACCGTCAGGGGGGGGGGGGCTACGCAGATTAAACGATTAAACGCAGTGGGTAGCCAACATAAACAGAAATAATTTGAAAGTTCCAGGATTAATTTTAATCGTAGATGGCTGGCACTTCTGTGACGAACGACGGGCAGCTCGGGCACCAGTTTTTCACCAATCGGTGCTCCAATTCAGCAGTTGCTTGGAAATCTTTATAACAATTAAACGTAGTTCGCTTCTATAGTAGGAGTAACTAATATTTGAGTTTTATTTCTACTCAGATTTGTTGCCTATTACAGCTAATATGTTTTATTTTATTTTCGACTAAAAATTCCGTAGGCTTCTGGATGCAATTTCTCCAGTATAAGCGGATCGAAATCCACACTGTGCGTTATTCTGGATCCATTCTGGCACTTCATTACCCGACAGCGCGTGGTTCTCCTGCAGAACCAATATTAGCGCAGTCACGTGTTCAATTTGTGCCCGGGCCGCAAAAAATGTTTATAGCAACATCTGATAGTTAGCAAGTGGGGCGTCGGCCTTTTACCGTGGAAATAAAAATCACCATTCCGCAAACCCCAAATGATATTCTTCCGCGATCCCGGAGCGTGCATGCGTCGATTTGATACCTCGATATTATTAACTCCTGGCTGGCGGAGGCGCCGTATGTACAAAGGCAAAAAGCTCTTTAGCTCGTTCCACAAATGATATTCGAATGTTAGTCGAAGAACACGGCGAAAATGCGAAACAGCCAATATAATATTTCACGGAACCTGGACTTTTTGTTGCTTTTATGGCGCCGTTACCGCTCAAAACCGACTCTTTAAAAGGGAATCGAGCAAATGGGGGTTTGGCGATGCGGGGAGAGTGCGTATAAAATTTTTCACAATTAGGGAAGGGGGTTGTAGGAGGGATGGACAAGTAAGTCGGCGAAAGCGTCTTTAAATTTCGACAGCTCTTCATCTTTGCTAAGCAAACAGAAAAGAGCGGAAGTTCGTTAATCCCCGGCTGATTCCATAATGCGGATCTGTCGTTCTAAACCCCATACATCGGCCAGTGGGAAATTCAATTCGAGCCCGAGCTAACACCAATTTGTGTGGTCGAGGTGCGGAAGATCCGACGGACCCTCGGCAGGAAGGAAACTTCTTTTATTCGGTGTATTTCACTCGCGAGGGCCGATATGGCCGCTTTGATCAAAATTCCGGATCGATCGCCGGAGCCTTACACGATATTTCGTTTCGGTAACGACCAAAGTGTCCTCGTTCAACGACTAACAATTTATTTATGAATTAGTTACTCAGTACTACTCTTAGGCGGCCGGGATTTATTTCTCCCCGCCACCAAGCGATAACTTCACTTCTGTTTTAGTGAGTACGAATTATTGTAATTTTGGAATAAAAATAAACTTTAGTAGTTCTAGTATGTAAAATTGTTAATGTTATTCTAATTATTTTGTCTTAATATATAACGTTATTTCTGTTCAGGCATCACCGTCACTCCAGCACGGCATGAACTCGTACGTGAAGTTGAGCACCCTACCGGAGGCGAATCCGCCGCCGAGTAATTAATCCTCGCCTCAACATCTCTCTCTACAAAATATGAACCAGTAAACCGTTAAAAATGCGATCATTTCTCCGGCGTAATGGACTTGTTTGTACTTCCCCGGGTGAAAAACTAAAGGAACCAAAAGAGAAAATTAGACAAAGCGAAAGAAATAAGTGGAAAATCCACTCGTTAGGAAAAGCTGATCTCTCTTTGTCGAGTCACACAGAACGCAAATTATGCCACTAAGTGAAGCGTTAAAGCAATCATAAGCAAAAATAGAACAAGAGCTTCAGAGGCGACTGAAGAACAAATAGAACAGTTTAAGTGATTATATGGAGTTGCCATGGCGGTTCGATATTTTCGTTCAAACTTTTTCGTCTCCCGAGGCGACGGCCAGTGATTTATGGCTTTTTAAACATTTAAGTGTGGCATAGAGCGTGCGCGAGGCTCCGGTCGAGGGCGAAAATTCCTCCGCGGCATTTTTCGAAAATTAAAAGTCACTCGATAACTAATTTCTGCGGCGGCTCTAGCAATTCCCCTCCGCGTCAATGAACAGCGATTGTTGCAAGTTCGGCTTTCATATTGATTGCCCGTTTTGCGGAACTGAATACTGAAATCTGTAGGGATTAATCCCTTCGCTCGGATTAAGGGCTGGCATTTATCCTCGTGTGAAATTACTTTTTCCAGAGCGAAATTATGGAATTAATTTGAGGAAGGTCCGTAAGCGCCGGATTAGGCGATTTGATATGAGCTTATTAAAATACAAACAACATAAATTATGCAGAATTTGTTCCTCTTCGGGGGGAGTCTTTAATCGTGGATGTGGTAATTAATCTGGAGCCGGTTTGCATGGCGATAAGGCGTTTCCTTTGAGTCGCTGAGAGATGATAAGGAGCTTTCAAGAAATGAAGTTTTTATTACCGGGAATTTGAAATAATTACTTTTCAGTTAAGTGGATGTAGAACAGAAGGGTCATTAAATTCTTTAATTACTCCGGGATTGTAAAACACTGGCGAACAGTGGTACGTAAACTAATTAAAGGATGCATCGCCGACCTCAGTTACTATTTCGAGTGCGACTATTTTTCAAATATTATTTTTACACAGCAAAGTAAATTAAGTGGAATTTTCTTTGCTTATGAGGATTCTTACCGCTACGTGTAGAAATAATTTAAATTCATATTTCTACTGCTAACATCAGTTTAAGCTTTCCATGAATAGAGCTTCGGTGGATTATTAAACCAAATAGAGTATTCAGCGTTAGTTGGATGAAGAATTAAATACTTTCGAACGCCCCGTTTAATTGGTATATGGTGTACACTGCCTTTCCAGAAAAAGCAGCACACCTTCAGAAGTGTGATCCGAAGGATGTCAGATGAGATCAGGTCAGGTTAGATCAGGTCAGGTTAGATCAGGTCAGGTTAGATCAGGTCAAGCCAGGTCAGATCCGGTCAGGATGAGGTCAGGTCAGATTAGGTCAGGTCAGGTCAAGAAGAGGAGGGACAACATCGACCCTCCACCACCAAGTGACTATTGACAGTGGATAAAGCTGGGGGGAGAGTATCTGATAAGCCTGTGACAGGAAATCGACCGAACAGGTAAAGATATTATTATCGCTGGAAACGCGCCAAATCATATGCCTGGGGCTCACCGTTTGAGGACAACAAGGGAACAAAGCTTGCAGAAGGGATTGCTGAATCTAATTTAGTAGTGCACAACACAGGAAAGACTATAACATTTTATGGAACTAGAAAGGACTCTTTTGTCGTCGTTACAATGAGTACGCCCACAGTGGCAAAAAATATAAGGAAATGGAGAGTACTGTCGGAGGAGGAAGACTTAAGTGACCACCACCACATCACTTTTGACGTAGAGTCGAAAATGCAGAGAACCTACCTACCTACCCGTATATTGGTGGAATGCGGAAATAGCAGCAGTGAGGAGAGAATGCCTGAGGAATAAAAGAGTTGGGGTAAGACAAAAAAAGAGAAACTTCAGTGATGGAGCAAGAACAGAGAAAGCAGAAAGAAAGTGAGGAAACCAATAGGAATGTCCAGAGAATCATCCTGGAAAAGACTTTGTGACTAAATCGATAGAGATGTCTGGAGAGACACTTACAAAATCGCTTCAAAAAAGATAAACGTTTTGCAACATGTTATCATGAGCGACGAGGAGAAGCAGAAAGATGTTGAGCAACTATTTCCAAATGCCAAAATGTCCGAATGGAAGAAATTAGACGTAAAGCAGAATGAAACCCCATTATTCACCATGAGGAAACTGGAACCGTGTGCTAAAAAGATCAAACTAAAGGAAGCACCTGGTCCGGACGGCATAACACCTGAACTCGTTAGGATTACTCTGGCTGAAACACCTGAGGTTTGCCTGAAGAAGATGATGAATAAGGCCTTGTGGAAATCATTGAAAAACGGGAGCTATCTGCGTATCTACGAAGGATGATTTTAAGTTACCTAAATGGGCGTTGAATCCAGGGTGTCGAGAACGTTAACATAGAAATGACATGTCGGGTACCATAGGGGTTAGTACTCCGACCCACCCAGTGGAATCTATACTCTGATGATGTTTTATGATTATGCGTACCGGTGGTAACAGAGCTAATAGGCTGCGCCGATGATTTGGCCATGGTAGTATCGGCTAAGGACGTTCCAATACTGATCCGAAACACAGAACAGGCGGCGCTCCGAGTAAAAGAATCCCTGCGAAATCGAGGACTGCAAATGGCGACAGACAAAACTAAGCTGGTTATACTTGCCGGCAGAAGGAAGTTAAAAAATCTTCAATGCAGGATAGACAGAGTGGATATAAAAAGTGATGATAGTATAAAATACCTAGGAGTGTGGTACGATAAAGACATGCGCATGACAATTCATCTGGTGAAGG